CATCTCATAAAAAATCATAGGGAAGCTGGCTAGTGCTGTTTGCCAGCACGTAACTGTGTGTGCAGACTGAGAATGGAAGATCAGCATCTCAGAGAATGTACTCTGTGATCCCTGGACAGCCAGGATTACAGTTGCCACTGACAGCTCCTCAGCTTATCTTCTGCATGTCTGCAGGACACCATGAGCTGCTTTCTGTGTGTGAGCCCAGGCCATGGCCAAGTTTGGGGTTACATCAGAAAGCAAGAGTGGCTCAATGGCACTGGCAATCCTCTAGACTTGGTCAGGTCATTTAACCTGAGATTTCAAATTCATGGCTCAGGATTGCCAGGAGAAAAATCCCATTATAAAACCAGTGAAGTGATATATATGCTTCCAAGGAGAAATAACACTGAGTATATGTTACAGTCCAAAAATTTTCTTTCTGGTGTCAGTGCAAATTTTTGGTATGATGGGAGAGATTTAAAATATATACTATAGAGATCTATAAAATTAAAATATTTAAATACAGGGATTTAACAGTGTTTGAGTGCCCAGTCTGTTATTAAAGTCAGTGTTCAAATGAGAAAATTAATCTCCCTAATACAAAAAGTGTCAGTTAAATATAGAGAAAAGGATTGCAGAGACATAATGTTGATAATTAATTGTGTAGATTTTTGTAGAAGGGTGAGTACATGAAGGATTTTCATTTAGTTTAGGCCAAAATCAGGTATTAAATAAGAAGAATAAGAAAACCAGATTGCAGATGAGAAGCAGTAAAATAATTTCTCATATACACTGCTAGACCAATCTGAGAACAAAACTGACATACATAATCATATAACATAAAAACTAGGTTAAAGCATAGCTCAAACCTGCCTAAAATTAGATGGTATATGAAATCCATCTACACCCTGTAAAGAAGAATTTCACAGCCCGTGCTCTGGAACAGCTTTCTCTCAGGTGGTCCCTGTACACTGGTTCCCCACACATGACTGAGGATTAGCATTTGTTGAATAAAATAGCAAAAGAAAGCATTCCTGAAGCAGTTGGGAGTTTATTGGGGTTGAGAAAATAGATCTGTTAGAGCACTATAAAAAATCTTTCCCCAACATGTTAGCATCTTCTGCAGAGCCTAAAGAGGACAACCTGTGTCAAGAGCACTAAATAGTAGGGGTTGGATCAGCTACACTATGAAAAAAATGTGGGAAGCAGCTCAAAGTAAACAACAATATAGTTGCCTATTGCAGTATGGTACCACTATCAAATTATTGGTTTTTGTTATGTTTACCACTACAAAGAAAATTTTGAAATTGGATTGTTTATTTAATGTTACATGAAAATTTCCTTTAAAAAACACTACCCTATTAGCTGATGGGTAACATATTTATGCCTGCTGAGCCTAGGGAAAAACATTTAGAATACAAAACTGATGTTGACACAAAAAAGTACCCGAGTGGGTTCTTGAGAAGCAGAAACACCCAGTGGTTTAATGTCTGTCACAACCAGGGAAGGTTGGTGTGTGTAAGCCAGGCTTACATAACCGGGGACATCTGGGGATACTTGGTCAAGCAACAGTGCACCGTGCACATCACAATTATTTTCCTTGGCTTCTTCAAAACACAGTCTATGCTTAAATAGTATCAGACAAGAATTCGAGGCATGAGTGAACTCTGTCCTCCACTTTTTTTCCGAGAAGAGACTCTTTTCCATCACAGATCAAGTGCTGTGAATGATGTCACTGTTCTGTTGTCAAACAACTTGAAAATTTCATTTGCCTTTTAGTCTTAGGCACTTGTCTGTTTAAAGTGCCTCCTACTGCTGCTGCCTAGGTTATGGTGATCTGTGTGATGGCAGTGACACATACAAGTAATCTCTTGTACAGGTTTTTCACTGCAACTGAAATGCCTGAGTTATTTGCCATTACAGGTTTTTACATTATCATGGCAAAAAACCTGCGACTTACAAGGAATCCATTTTCAGGTGCTTTTTCCACTGACCTTTAGAAACTCTGCCTGCACAAATGAATCAGGCTAAGCTTGCTATCACAATTGCAATTCCAGTTGCATGCAACTTTTGTATCAGGTGGAGAGATGTAGGCAAATACCTCTGTCTTATTTATTCTACATCTATTTCACAGCTTTCCAGAAGCATATGGAGCCTATGGCTCCAGAGTATTTGACAGGTCCAAAGTTTCCATTGTAGTGAAATAAAATTTCTCAAATATACATCTGAGTTTTGGAGTTTAACCTTGCCACAGATCTTCATACACGTGGTTCTTTCTCAAAAAAGAGAATACACAGTCAGTCTCTACTCTTCCACCAATTAGCAAAATCTGGAATTAACATGGTGTGTGCAATAGAAATATGGTTTTATTCTGTGTGAGTCTCTCTCTTCTTGCTTTGCTAAGCCCCTTGTCTCTGTGCATTAGAGATATAAATCATATAAATCATGATATCTATAAGAAGCCTTTTTGGGGCTGTCAGCAGGATTTCATATCCTAAAGGTGAGACCATCAGCCTGGCTTTAATACCATTTATATTGCATACAAAAGCAAAACCAAGGCTCTTGTCTTTGATTCCTTGTGAAGAAACAGCCACTTTAAAAAAAATAAACACTTGGTAAGCTTATTCAGTTAATACTAAGGACTAACTATTTCTCTAAGTTTGCAGAGTCAGACCCACTTTAATGTTTTATAATATTTTACAGTTTCTTTGTTATTTTAAATATAAACCCCCTGACTAGACCATGCTAGTATATATGGTCATTAGCATGAATATACACATTGATTAATCTATAGAAATATTATCACATGCATAAACATATTTGGTTATGGATATTAATATAACTAGATCAGCCTTATTTTAGGAAGAGAGCTTTTTACTGGTGTGAATACAGTGACATAGTCGCACATGATTGTCATCTGCTGTGAATTGCCAGATTTTGATCATCCAAATTGAAGTGGAACAATATCTTATTAAAAAGGCAACCCAGTACTTGAAACAGCAAAAGGAGAAAAAGTTTATACAACAGTATAAAACATCGGTCTAATTTAATGTATACTGTTAGATCATGCTTAAGTGTGAAAATATATGCTTTTCTGGGGAAAATGTACTTTCTGAAGTTTTTGCTCTAGACTGTTGGGGAAAAAATTGAAGCAATGTATATAAGTGTTATTTCTCGTATATTTTCTCTGAAACACAGCATATTTATTTATTAATTTGATAACATTTGCTTGAATTCCAAAGTGCTGTAATGAAGTGATTCTAATTTTAAAGCCCCCTTGCTTTTTGAGGTGTTATTGATTGTATATATATTTTTCCCTTTTAAAGTGTGTAATGCCAATTGCATTACTATGTCAAATTCAGATAAATCATGACAAACAACATTTTCACAAACAGAAATGTTAACATGCTACATTCCTTTCTTTGGAAAAGTAAAAGAAATTATCACAGAAAACACAATTTAATTTAATTATGTCCATTAGGTCATTAAAGTGATGTAATGTGCATGTCAGTCCTCCTTTCATCCACAGATTACTTTAATCCCTCATGTGCTTTTTTTTTTTTTTTTTTTTTTAATTCCTCTGGCTTTCTTTCATACTTGCTTTGTTTTGAATTTGCATGCTGTCTGGATTATTTGTGCATGACCTCCACTTTAATTTCACATTGAATGTTTACATACTCTGAGAGATTTTCATGGATCATTTATTCTACATGTGCATTTTTTTCTTTGTTTTCAGTTACTAAACTTTAAATATGCTTGAAATGTAAAAGTGGTATGAAACTTTCGTGACATGAGTATGCAACTATTTCAACAGATTTTCAGTATCCATCTTTCAGAAATACATATTTTAAACCACATTTTATTTCACGATTTCAAAATATAAGGAAATAAATTGTGTTCTAAGACTCAAAATATATTCCATTGCAGAACCAAATACTGGTTATATTCAATTTGAGCAATGCCAAGCACATGAGATTGGTCCTTTAAATTATTTAAGAAGGTCTCTGCTGTCTTGGAGGTCATCACTTGCCAAGTCCGGTGTCTATGTTCAGTATAAGAGACATTATAGGTCATTGTCTGACTGATAGCACAGATCACTTCAGACACACAGTCTGCAGCTCTGTGTGCCCTCAAGACTGCCAGCTTCTTTCAATTCACTCTGCAGGGGCCCTATTTCCTTATTTAGTATCTGAAATAAATGTTCCAAGTAGGCAAATCCTGTTTTTACACAGGATAGTCCTGTAAGTCCTTGCAAATGTTTATGAAGTCAAAGGTTTTATCATGTAAGAAACACCAATTTCTCCTATATTAATTTCTGATTTGAAGAATTACAGCAAAATATGTTGATCATCATGCAATGAAATCCTGCTTATCAGCAGAATTCCATTTCTAAATCACTTAGAACGAAAAGTATATCCAGAGAAACCTAATGCATAAATATACATCTATAAAATAAAAGAAAGTTGGGGGTTTTTTTCATTATGCCCGAAAGAAGCATTAAAACACACGTAAGAAGTTGTCAATAAAGAGGCCAAATACGACATTATGAAATCAACAGCACCTACCAGTAAAGAATTTTTAATATTAATTGACACAGGGCTGAATTCGCACACTATAAGCAAATCAAAGGCTTCTGCTTTCCACATTACAGCCTATTCTTTTCAGACAGTTAATTAATTCTGTGCACAGTCTGCTGTGATTAAAGATGGATGCCTTGATCTCAAAGCATGCTGAACCATCTGTAGCCCTTCATCCAAACATGCTAAACACTACAGCTTCCAAATAAGGAGCTGCACATTGTGACTTCAGACCTCCGGAGTCCAATTGATCCAGTCTTCAGGAGCTTTGCCTTCAAATTTCAGACCTCACCACACTTCTGATCCTTTGCAGCCACTTAGTTTGTGCTGATTTGAGTCACTACAGTTCTCTCCACTTTTACAAACTAGTTGTTTTGTCAGCATGAGTGTGACAACAATTAGACGTCCCTGTTTTTGCCCCATGCCTTTTCTCCTTCACAGTCATTCAATGACAAGCGTAAAAAGAACTTCATCTTTTCACGAAAATTCCCATTCTACAAGAGCAAGGAGCAGAGTGAGCAGGAAACAAGTGATCCAGAACGTAAGTAACCTCTTGGAGACGATGTCACATGCAGCAGCACAACAAATGGGTGACACGCATGATGCCAGTATCCCACACATCTAGGCAAATATCTGTCATAGGCAGGCAGGAGAGGTATTACTACTGTGACCAATGTATGACTGCAGTTTGGATCCAGCTTCTCCTTCCATCTCTGGAAATACTATTTTCAGAAGAATAAAGCAGTGACCTTAACTTTTGGAAGTAGAAATATGGCTCCTCAAAGTTGTTGTGACACCTGTCATAAATCCAAAATCATCTCTCAGAAATATTTCTAGATCAGAATTGGCTCAAAGTAAGGCAAACGTGATTTCTTTCACAATACTAAACTAATTAGTTTTTAAAATATCTATTCTTATCTTTTTTTTTTTGCCTTTGACTTTCACCAAATTGATTTCCATGGGCAGCTTCTCTGGAAGTTTAACAATTAAGGGAAGCAACCATGTTAACAGCTTAAAGAACTAAACTGGTTCTTGGAATGTGTATAACCACAAGCATTTATTGCTTGCTTAAATTATATAAGGAACCAGCATTATTAAAAATATTTGCTAGTTCCAAGCCCAAATATTCCCTTTTTTTTTTTTCTTAATAATTCTGTCCTATATTTATCCAGTGAGGACAGTTTCTGGAGCTTTATTTATCTGGTTGTTCCTTCTTCCTCACAGCTCCAAAAGGCACGTTTCACAGTCACTGCCTCCTTCTTTGGCTGAATTTCCATAGAATATGGGTCTAAATTCATTTCAGAATGAAAAGGCAGGGATCCAGATTGCTCAATCAACATGGTCAGTCATGGTAGTATCCATTTCAACTCCACTGACTTCTTCCTTCCTCTTCTGCGGCTGTTCTTCCTTTCTCATTGCTCTCTCTGGGGACTTCCGTGCAGGACATCCCCGGATTAGGTGACGACGGTTATGGAACAAAGACTCTGAGTAAGTTCCCAGGAATGGTCACTGTAAACCCTTTTTTGTTTTGTTTTGTTTTGGCTTCTGTTTCTTCTCTGAGGACCCTCCACTCCTAGCATGCACAAGATAGAGTTTTATTTGTTACCCAGCTGTGAATGCATTACAAATGTTTCAATCGTTCTGTTCTGCATGGTATTAAATAACATACAGTGTATCAAGCAGACACTTTCACTTCTTTTGTAATAACACCTTTTGTTTCTGACAGTATATGATTGTTCCCATCATGGCAGTTCTGTAGAGTAGCATACCTAGAACGCGTTTTGCTGCCTAGACTGTTCTTTTCAGCAACAACCCCTCCCTCTCCATCTAAAGGGAAAATTAAACATTTTAACATGATCACATCCTGAGGAGATCAATAGAAAATTAGTTCATGCTGTTGCTTCTGCATTTTCAGCTTTTTGCATGGGAGTGTTTGTTACTTTGCTGAATTTTTAGATTAGTATTTGTTATTAATGGAAGAAGTCATTTGCAGGCTAGAGAAGATCATGCATTCTCCAAAGCTAATTTTGGACCAGTTTTCACCATTAGCAACCTATTCTCTGTCACACAACCTTAATAATTTATTTTTTTTTCTGATGCAGCAATCCTGTCTCAAGACTTGGCATTGCAGAGTGTATAATGTGTCAGATAATTGCTCAGAAACAATTTTTCTTCCTTAAAATGTGAACCAGAAAAACTGTACAGAATGAAATATTTGCTGCTGACTTCTACATGTATAGCTATATTAAATTCTGTATCCAGAGCTAAATAATGTAAACAAAATGCCACTTGCATGCATTTGGCTACTTGTTCCTCAGTTCTTTTTCCTTTTCTTAAGCACCAAGTAATTGGAGCGAAATGTGTGTTAATGCTGCATCACCTACTGTTTTGTGTGTGCTTTTTAATTGCAGGAATGCACATCCATGCACACAGTTTTGGAGCTTATTCTGTTTCTGACTGAATTGTTGAAGGAACATTTTAATGATTTAACTTAATGCCATGCAGTGGCTCACAATTTAAAGATGAAAGCTTTATCTCTTGTACAAGGAAGAACAGTTCTGCAAGACTGGTTTTGTCAGTGATAGACAGCAAATGTCACTGCCACCTGAATTTTAACAATTCTGTGATCATTTAAGTGTCATAGCAGCTCATTAGTAACAAATGCAAATCCGTCCCTGCTAGAGAAAAGTAAAATGCTTCAGATCTGATAACCTTCCTGAATATGTGTCCTTACAAAGAGAATCATCCATAACATCCAACCATTTGAAAGTTACCTGAATTCTGCAAATTGGTATGGAACAAAGTAGCACCAAGGTGTTGTATAGGCTGTAATGCCTGCATTAATATTGCACCTAATTTTAAATTACTGGTACACCTCCAGACATTCCCACCAATCCAAATTTTGTTAGTTTTCAACTAAGACATGCTTTTTTATGACAGTTCTTACTACAAAGGATATTTGTTATTTTTAAATAAAGTTGTTCAGCTGTATAGCACATCATTTTTGAGATAACCCTTGTTAGCTTGCTATGAAATGCCTGAAAGTCATTATGCTGTTTTCTTCAAAATGTAAGTTGAATTTTTAAAAGCTTCTTCCTAAGCCCAAGATCAAGGTTTCCCATTACTGTTTTTATCAGATATCTTCTTTTCTCATTTTTGGTGCTCCGGTAGTCCCATCATTCCCAATCTATGAACCCTAAGCCATGTGATTGGTACATGGAGGAAAGGCAGCACCTTGCAGGGAATTTCAGCACTGTTCCTGTCTTTCTCATTAGCCCAGGGTGCTCCCAGATGTACAGCCATTGTGCCATTGGCTTCTAAATGTCCTGGACCAGCTGAAAAATTTCAACTGCCAAATGATCTTTCAGGTGCAAAGTAATCAGCATTTCTACCAGAAAAAACACTGTTAAATGTGGTCCTGCACACCTCCTGGAGAGCATATAGCATGACCTTACTGTCCATAAATAGTCTGCTGACTACAGTTTTGGAATTATTTTCAATAATATGGTAATAGAAACAGGACACCTGACTTGACAAACCACAAGACTGACCCATCATGATAGTTCTTATATTCATGTTCACCCATCCAGACTGGTCTGCTAAAGGTTTTCAAACTCCAGCTCAAATCCTGAGGCTAGACAATTTCTGGAAAAAGACTTCTTCCTTTTTTTTTTTCCTTTGTTTTTTCATTGGCTTTGTATTCTTTAATTTTTTTCCCCCTTTTGGACAGGATAGATTAGATACATTTACAATATTTCATACCAAAATAACTTTCATGTTAATCTGTTAATCACTTTGCACAATCATTTGGGATAGTGCACAGTGATTAAAGACAGACACAGGCTAGAAGTTTAGCAGGAATAGTTTCAATGCATTAATGATGCACATCACTGATAGTGCAGAATATGAGCAGACAGATTTCAATAAATTGCTCAAGACATCAAGTGAGATCCAAGTTGATCATAATATACACTGAAATGAAGTTATCAGAGATGTCATCTACTGTCTATCACAAAACGACATAGTTTTACTATGGCACATATCAGTAGCTAATACGTACATACATACAGTCTCTTTCTGAAATGCCACAAGAGAGAAAGCTTTCGTTTTACCTCTGTAAAATATCTGAGCATTTTCAGGTGATGTCACTGCACAGCTTTTATTTCTGCTCTGCATAACTACCTTTGCATGACTGTGGCAGTTCTTTTAAGTTTCTGCAGCTCTGTGGTGCTTGGTTATGTTCTTTAATTTGCTGTACTGTTCTTGCAGAACATGTTTCTTCTAATGCCAGCGATAGTGAAAGTAGCTACAGTAAGTTACTGCTTTCATTAGAGTCCTTTTATTTTGCATTGCTTGTTTTGTTTCTTTTATTTTGTTTCTCTCCTTGCTACTCTTTTGTTAATGTTAAAAAGATCACTGGAGCAAATGGCTTGGAATTCAGATTTATGACCATGTCTTGAGTACAAAGCCATAAAAGAAAACTGGCAAACTTTATAAGAGAAGAGAGAAAGGTTGTTACTTATGATGTATTGGGGACATAAAACTAAACCTGGCTTTGGGTAGCCTATGCAAGTCAGGATTATTTCATTTAGTGACAAAAGTGTATTTCAGTGGGGGTGGGGGGAAGTTTCTTGATGATCTTTTAAGAGTAAAGTTACTGCACAGCCATAGTCAAATCTGTAAGAGGCATCCTTTTTACAAGGTCACAATTTTTACTTGCATTTCTGCATGCCTGTATGGATGGCTAAGAAACAGTCCCAGAAATTTTACTGAGCCCTCAGTTTTGACAGTACAGATTTCCTAATTCATACTGCAGGCTTAAAAAAAGGTAAGATAGACCTTCACTGCTTAGGCACTGCCACTGAATATCACTGATACCATGTAGGTGGGGGTCCCAACCCTGCAATCTGATTTGCTGGGATTTACAGACTCCATGTGATCATATAACCAAGTGGCAGATTGTATGTTCTGGGTAACTCTTAGTAATGCCCATAAATTTAACAAATATCACTATTTTTTGGACGTTCTGAAAAACAGAAAAAAAAAAAACCAAGGCATTAAATAAATTACTAGAAATGTAATAAAAGATAACTAAAATGACAGAGTGCTTGCTAGACCCAGTTGTTTCATTTATTCAAGCCATTTGCTTAACAAATCAAGTTTTCCACCAGTCACTCAGCACTTGTGCTAAGCACCCACATACATTCAGGTAATCAATGGTATCATAGCTCATGTTTACTAGTCCTGATATAACACACAGCAGTTGAACTCTGTTGATAAACACTGGTTTGTTTCAGCAAAACAGCTAACCTTATCCTATTCAGAAATAGTAAATTAGTTTGTATTCTCTTGTACTGAAAAGGTTTCCTTGGAAAGCAATTGCCAGAGTCACAAGAAAATGGTAGGCAATCTTGAATTGCCAAGATCCAATTCTGAACTGTTTTGTTTTTAATGTGCCTCTACTTGGGAGGAAAGGCAGACTATTTTTTATTATATTTATATTGAGATATAAGATGCTCTTTCTCCTGACTGAGTTTAAAATCAGAAATTAATCAAAGGGTTAAATTTTCAAAGAATTTCACAAGTCAAATCTCATCCAAACCTGTATATTTCAGGGAGAGCTCAGGTAAAAGCCCAGAGGAGAATACAGATTGATGAACTGTCCCAAACAGCAGCCTTAATAGGCGTGCCCAGTTGCAGCAAAATATTTGGAGCATGTCCACAAAAGCACATAAGACAGGCCAGGTAGCCAGTCCTTCACTGGCTGTGTAATAGCTTAACATAAAGTGTATTTTTTGAGGTGCAAGAAAGGTAATAGAAACAATTTGGGAAAGTTAGCTGGAACATAAGTACTTGGAACAAAAAGTAGTGCTGGAGCAACAGCTGCCCATGGCAGTCACTCTCCTTCTAGAGTGGTTTCCATCTGCACAAGCTCTGCTCTCACTCCAGCAGCATCCTGTTGGCTGGATTTTCCCACACATTACTGGTATTTCAAACAACTTCTGCCTGGTGGAGAAGATGCTGGCAGGGATTTCTTGTCTGCCTACAGGATAGCTATGCCATTAAGAAGCAGAGGAAGACCATCTAAGGTTATGCCAAATGAAAGAGGCTTTAAAATACAGAACCTGGTCAGAACCTGGTGCCCAAAGGGCCTGATTTAATTTCTAAGGATTCATTGGTGTGTGCTAACATGATGTTTGAAGGCATGACCTTGACAAATTAGCAGCTGTGGTTCCCACATGGAAATTATTTTTTCAGATGGCCATGGTGGCACCTGAAGTCTAACCTGACTATGTTCAATTTCCACCTGGCCATGGTGCATCAGCATATCTCCTGTGGAGAATTAAAGTCCTCCTGAGTCTGGATTATTAGTCTTTGAATCTTCTGGCAAAGAGATCTGAGATCTGGTGTGTTGACTACATCCCATTGCGCAGCTCATCACAGCAAATCTCCCCTAGAAAAATCAAATGAGAGTGAGAGGCAGGTGGTCAGAGAGTGAATTCAACAAATTGTGAGGGATGGAGATAAGTGAGATGAGGCCTGTCAAAGGAAGTTCTCTTTTCACTACAGTTCTCACTTTGTGGGACTGTTGAGAAAGGGTGCTACACTGTAAAAATTTATCAACATCTCTGATGTGGGAAGGATAATTACCAGACATATTCCTCGAAGATTTCCTAAAGTATTCCTCACTGCCTCCTGGAGTGCCCAAGGTAACATTCCTGGCAGAAGAAGTCAGCATGCAGTTACTATTTCTGCTATTCTTGTTTGCCTCTGGGTAGCTGGGAATGGAGCTCAGCATCGGCCACTGCCACAGAACCAAGTTTGTATTAACTCCATTTGGACCCAGCCATGTCGCAGAGTTGTTTCTCAGTGTGATGTAGTTACTTTGAGGAGAGTCTGTGTGTTCAAGGTGAGGCACTGCAAGTTATTTTGCAATGACACCATGTCTCTTGACTTGGAAACTCATCTAGCCTTCAATCTATGCACTGGTGACATAGAGCTTACTGGTGACATGCAGAGGAGAAAAAAAGTAAAGCTGGAAAATTAATGGAGAGCAAATGGAAAACCACTGGAGGAATCCAGGGTTTTGCATGGGGTTGTGACCCTGTCCCTGTGCCTCCTTTCTTTTCTGTTTCCCCAGAAAATTAGCAGGAAGAAAAGGGTTGCCTGCCCCACTGCTTTCTGAGCTGTGGCAAGCTGGGGCAGAGTGGCTGGCTGAAAAGCTGCCTGGTGGAAAAGGGTCTGGAAGTGCTGGTCAGCAGCAGCTGAACACGAGCCAGCAGTGCCCAGGTGGCCAGGAAGGCCAGTGGCATCCTGGCCTGGATCAGCAATGGTGTGGCCAGCAGGACCAGGACAGGGATTGTCCCCTGTACTGGGCACTGGTGAGGCCACATCTCAAATCCTGTGTTCAGTTCTGGGCCCCTTAATACAACAAAAAACACTGAGGTGCTGGAGCGTGTCCAGAGAAGGGCAATGGAGCTGGGAAGGGATCTGGAGCAGAAGTCTGATGAGGAGCAGATGAAAAGAGGTTGTAGTGAGGTGGAGTTCATCTCTTTTCCCAAGTAAAAAGCAACAGGAAGAGGAAATGGCCTTGAGTTGCACCAGGGAAGATTTAGATTAGATAACAGACAGAATTTCTCCACTGAAAAAGTTATCAGGCATTGGGAGCAGGCTGCCCATGGACGTGGTTAATTCACCATTCCCAAGGGATTTAAACTACATGCTCAGGGACATGGTTAGTGTGAGTTGGCAGAGCTGGACTTGTTTTTTCCAACCTAAATGATTCTATGCGTCTATGATTCTATGAAATCTCAATTCACACCTTGGCCAGAACAAAGAAAACGTGTGTGGGCAAGAAATGACTGGCAAATGCAGGGTGTTCTCCTGCAAACCTTCTTATATATCCCTATAAAAACAGACCAGTTGGAGTCCAGAGTGAGGTGTTCTGCATTTTTTCTACTGGGTCTCTGGCAATTGTTTTAACATATTTCTCTAACTTTTGCTTCTCATTATGACCATTTAGTGAAAAGTAGCTAGTGTCAAAACCTGTACTACTTGATCATTCCTAGAACCATTCCAAACCAGCAATATTGAAGGATTCTGAGAAATGTCCAGGCTGTGACCTGGGCAGTGAGGAATGGGGTGGGGGGGGAGGGGGGGTGGTCAAATCAAATGGGCTTTTTCTAGGAAATATTCTGATGTGTTCATTATTTTTTAGAAAAATTCATTTCTTGAAAAATTTAAATATTTAGCTGAAGTATTGCTTATATCTCCAGGGTTAAAAAAATCAGAAGCCTTTTTTTTTTTTTTTTTTACTTCAAAAATGTAATTGAAAGTCCTCCAATGTGGTCTGAAGAGAAAATTCTTTGACCACTTCTAAACAACAAGAAGCTGGAAAAAGTAAACCAGATTTCTTCTGCCAGTGCCATTAGCACTTGGTTTGTTATAAAAAGTAGGGCTGGAGCCAACAGTGGGCTATTCTTTCTCCCAGCAGACAACCTTAAGCTCCATTAATTTCAGGGCAAACCACAGACACATTTGAAAGAAGAATCTAACCCTTTATAAATAACAGTGTTTTGGGGCCAGGAACAAATGCTGGCTAGATCCTGAAGGGGATGAGTTGCTACACAGCTGCTTCTGAATCACAGAGCCACGCTCTTATGAAGTCCATGTTAGTTTATTTGTTCCTGTTCTCAGCAGTAAATCCAAGTTTGCAGAGTGGTGTATAAAGTCCTGGTCTAGCAGAAGATTGTTCTTTTTGTGATAAGGATGCATACAGCCAATTTTTACTTATCCCTGGACCAGTTAATCAAACCATGATTCAAAGTTTATTTTGAGCTCTGTAACTTAAAATGTTCTGATTTCTTTTTCAAATCAAGCTTGTAAGGACAGATTTTTTTACCATGGACTCATCAGTTTTTATTTTGTGAGACATGATTTTCATAATGGGCATGAATTTCAAGTCTCTTTCCTGCATATGTGTTGTAACACTCTTACACATAGTTCAGTAAAGTTTTTTACAGCTGTCATCAAAATTACACACACATTGTCGTATCTGTTTAGTCTAATTGCATAACTGGTTGTGATTGCACCACTTACCTAGAGAGGCAATACATAACTAAAAGTTAAAAATAAGGAAAAATGGTAGGAAAAAACTTTTACCTTCTGTCAGCAAATGAGCAAGTCCCTCTTCTAATGAGATTTGAAGATTCATAACAAGGTTAAAGGAGTCTTCATTATTGCAATAGGTTATTGATTAATAAGGACACTTGCATTGGCTCCCAGCATTACTGTATTATTCAGGTATACTCAAACTGGCACAAGTATTGAAGTCTCATTTTATACCCACACAGCTGTATTGATCTTTGCCCTTAGACAACTTCTGAGTCTTAGGTTCATGCTCAGACTACTGATAATCATTTTATGTATTGGATTTTCAGCCTTTCATAGCTATCAATAAATTTCCAAAAATCATGTGTTCACATAAATAGGGCCCCAGCAAAGGGATTTTGAACCAGATAGAGGCCAGGATATTGTCCAGTGCAGCCTGTGCAAAAGAAAAGCAACAAGAAATTGATTTCGCCAAGATCTTGCAAATACAACTTAGGTCGTTCATCCATTATCCCAAAAACCTAAATGGATGGTGGCAGTAAAATAAGCCTTCTTTGATTTTAAATTCAGGTGAGCAACAATATTCAGACAATAGCTTGAAAATTAAATTATTTGGCTCATCTACAAGAATTTCACATGTATGGGTGGTAACCACCACCAGTAGTCCAACCATTTTAATGAACCCAAAAATTCTCTTTGATTTTTTTTAAATCATAAATGACTTCTAGCTGTCTTCATTACTACTACTATTTTTTTTTAATTCATTTACTTAGATGTATTTTCAGATTTTTTCATTCACAGGCATTAATAGGATGCCAAAATCTATGCATTTCCACTGCATAGATTGCTGGATTAGGGAGGGTGTTTACATGGAGGCTGCCCCATGGCAGTTCACAGCAGCTCTCCCACCCCATTACCCACACCATGAGTGCAGGTACACCTGACCTGTGCAAGCCCTGGGTGCTCTGGCAAGGCAGTAGGAAATGGGGCCTTTTTATGGGTTACATGAAAAATGCCTGATAGCTGCCAGGTCTGCAATGAAACTGGGTTTGAGTCTTTCACAGGCTCTCTGCCATCTAATCAGAAAGGAAAAACAGAGGCATCACACTAACTCTGTTTCAGAGCTACCCATCTGAAACCCTATAACATCCCTTAAAAAGATTAAATTAATACTCCTTATGAAATTTAGCTGGTAGTACAGGACCTCGCTGCCCAGTTTATAGAGGTTATGAGTTACAACAAACTCCAGGTTATTCTTCTATTCCTAAGCATGAGAAAACACCAACAGGCAAACCAAGAGCAAAGGGAAGCAGGGAGTGGTCCAGAGAAAGTGAAAGTTCTCCAATAATTTTACCCGTAAGTGTATTACATTTAGGAAACTTTCCCTTTTTTTGTCTTCCATTCCCTTATTTTATTTATTTTCTTCTCTTTTTGACTTGATGGGATTTTACTGAAGAACAGGGGAACATACCAAAATCCTAGAGAAAGGTCTTCTTTTTCTTTTTCTCTTTTTGTTTTATCTGTTAAATGTCACAAAGATTTTCCAGATCAATACAGCTAACCTGTGCTAATTAAGCTGTTAACGTGGGTGTTAAATGAGGCTTAGGCAAATGATAAGTGCCTGTGTCCTGATGGATTTCACACTGTGTCTTACACCTCAAAGCCATCACAAGGTTATAGCCACCTGATTATTGATTGGCTCTAGAACTCTCCATTATACTTAATACTTTATGGACTACTTGCAGTACTGGCCGAGTGGAGATCATTAAAGAGTACCATCTGCTGTAGTTAACATGCAAAACAACCTCTGAGGAGCTACAAGATTTTGTCTGGACTGTATATGGCAGGATTTTATTCACTTTGAAATTTAAGCTTCCTTAGTCATTTTTCCAGAAAAGAAAAATAGTGGAAATGGTGCAGCTTTTCCCCACAGTCACATTCCCATGTTGAGTCTGGAACTGAGAGATGAAGATCCTTACCTCAGGAAGGTATCTGTCTTTAAGTTCTTGTATATCACAGTCAGCCTCAAAGTTTCTCCATACTTATTGCAACACTTTCCAATGGCTTAAACTTCAGCACAATTTGAGTGGGCTGGAGAATTTTTCTTTGACTTTAACCTGTCCACAGATGCACAAGATGTGTAAAATAGGTTTATTTTTCTCCCTAGCCCATACCCTACAGTGAGTGTGGATGTACCAAAAGCTTTAGTATGGGAACGTGTCTTCCAGAGAGTGGACAAAAAAGTCAAATCTGTACTGGCTTGTCAGTGCTTGTTATAAATCGGTGCCAAAGCCAAGTATTAGTCCACAGAAAGGAAAAAAAAAATAGTTTCAGAGTTATTGTCTATTTGCCTCCAATTGCTATTGACACTGTCACTCCCATGAGATTCTGCTGTTTAACTGCAGATGTCTGCATCTGGCTTTGCTGTTTAAATGCTGTTAGGGGACAATTGACACAAATTCATCCTTCTGACTTTTTCTGTCTTCACAAAGTAGACATGTAAAATAAGTCAGATGACTCATGTCTTCGAATAAGCATTTGCCTATTTGTAGGCAGCCATTGGCTCCGAAAGGTACCTAGGGACTAGCTTGACATAAGCACTCACGCCTCAGGTTTCTGAAATTAGTGAAATGAAACTCCTGCTGTGGATCTGTTTGCTATTGAAACAAATATCAAGTTTAAGATGGTATATGTACAAACAGGCTCCCCTCCATTAGGCTGGTATGTGATGGCTTCATTGCCCACCCTAAGACTGACTTTCTCAGGCTGTTGAAAAATATAGCCTTGGCTTCTGTGGAGTAGAGAACACACAGTGCAGGAGGATCCTAGTCCACCCTAGAGAGTGGATTTTTTCATCTCCAGAGAAATGAGACGTCCTGAGTTCTACATCACCTCTAAAATTTACTGAGAACCTTAAGGGAAACCAATACATGTGATGCATAAAACCTAGTGTAATAATAATCCTAGGTTTCCAACTTTGCAAAAAGCCAAAGAAAAATGATTACAATATCAAACATTTGCAAACAGAAAAGAAAATCCCTTGTCCACACTCCTCATATGTTATGTGGCCTTATCTTCAAATGCTTTCTAATCTCTTCCTTTTATTAAAAATTAGTTCTCTCCTTTGCTGCTTCAGCACCATTGCTAGGCAGGAGCTGGTCCTGTCAGTTCCACCCATCTGTGGATCTTCTCAGAGACTAACCCTGAACTGAGTAAAAACAAAGTCATCATTTTAAAATTTGCTAATATGTATTTAGAACCTGCCAGAGCTCTCATGTGGTACCAAGTATGTGACAGTGACCCAGAAAGAGAAATGAGCAGGAATTATTCATGGTTTAGGTGAAGAATCCTTCTCCCTGTTCTCTTTCACTCCCTTGGATGGGAGGACAGCAATGCATCAGGACTGCACACCTTCACCCAACTCATGGTCCATATAGTGCCACTTGTTTCTCATGGCAAATTTCTCTGCTTTAGTCCCCTAAATATCACCATGAGGAAACAGCACTGTCCTAAAAAGGCATAGGTAGGACAAACATATACAATATGATGCTGTGAGAGCTTCACTGAAGAAATTCAAAACCTGCCTAGACATGATCCTGTACAACCTGTTCTAGGTGCTTTTAGCAGGGGGATTGGACTAGGTGATCTCCAGAAGCTGAAAGTCCCTTTTAGCCCCAACCATTGAGTCTGTGATTTGTGTTCACGGAAAGGATAAGGATCAGAAAATAGCTCATAGCTAAATGTTAGGCTGTGAATGCACTGGACTATGGAAGCTATGTACTGAAGGACATTCAACAAAAATATATATTTATTCTGTACATAAAAATTGTTCTGTCTAGGTAGCCTGTTGATTTACTCTGCAGCAACCTGTTAGGACCTTAACAATAGGAAAAGCATTGCATCTTAAATTGCCGCACTGTCTTTATAAACAGCTTTGTATCAAATCACAAATAAAGGTATGTTGCCCGTCAATAAAAAACTCCAACTTCAGTAAATAGAATTTAAACACTTGGAAGGGGAGGGTGGGGAAGAAAAAAACTGTGTCCATACCTGGAAGTTAAAATGGACTTGGAATGGTTCAGGTGAGAGACTTATCAAGATAGAAGTGTTGAATCTGGTCTGTCTCTATGTGAAGCATTTTATCAAATTTAAGTACCTGACATGTTACTCATCAGCTTCAATCTCTTCTCTTTATTCTCTCATCAGGAGGCCAAGAGGACTGCATCCTTTCTTATGAACCTGTCACAAGACAGGAAAGTAAGTTTCATCTTCTTTTCTATCACTCTTCCTTATGTTTTTCATTTCAGAGTTTGGGGGCCAGCAGAGCGGTAAGCCTTGCTCTGCCAGTCCCAGATTCACTATGGCTTCCTTTTCTTGGACACTCAGTCTATTTTTATATGAAAAAACCCCTGATGTTATAGTATTCCTTGGAAGCCACCACTTCTTAACATTCCCAGGACTCTTTTCCCCAGTACGTTCTCATGGACTTTACCAGTACAAAAAATTAATCAGTCTGCAAAATATTGATGTAGATTTTCTAGATTTACTGCAATATTGTCACATAGAAAGCCTTTATTGTTTTGCTTCTCACATGCTATGTGCCACTGTCCAGGGTAGATAAACATGGAAAGGCAACTTAAAATGGGAGTACTTCCATCTGGTTTAATGGAGGATTCACTCATATAACTTGAGGTGGGAAAAGGGCTACAATAGCCTTCCATACCTCATAGAAGAGTCCATCTGCAAGCATTTGGGAGTGGCATTGTTGAGTGATAGCAAATGTATCTATGCTTCTACACAGTCACTTGACTTGTGCATGGACCATCACAGAGCTCTGCAGTGGTACTCATTCCATTCCCCTTTTTCATGTCAAGAAATAAAATATTAATCAATAAAATGTGCACCTATATTTTCATTTCATACATAAAGACAAAAACTCTGGTTAGTGATATTTGGGTGCATTTATTTATTATTGTGGTAAGACCATCAAAATGTGATCCTTTTGTTTTTCAGTTAATTACACCAGGCCAGTTATTATTCTGGGTCCTATGAAAGATCGGATCAACGATGATTTGATATCTGAGTTCCCTGATAAGTTTGGGTCATGTGTACCACGTAAGTATGATTCCACTCCTAGTTCTGCAGCTGAGTGAATGGTATCCCTTGGTGCCACACATTAAGTAAATTTCTACAAAAGCAGCATCCGTGAACTATGCATAGTTGTGTTTCTCAAAAGTCATTTTTTCATCAGACAGAAAAGGCAAAAAGAATGAATAATTTTTTTTAAAAAAATTAAAGGTTGTGAATGTCTGGGAAAAAATTCTGAAAAGTTTGAAATTCTAGTAAAATGTTTCAACTCAATTGCACAGCATCCACCAATGAATATACAGAATTATTTGTGATTTGTGTGAGATATAGACTGTTGAATCAAAAAGCAATGTTAGACCCTGAATTAAACAGACCATTTATATCTTGGACAATTAGAGCTTGCTGTTTATTTGAGGGCCTAATTGCAGTCATACTTCATTTTAAATGGTTGTCTCTGGCAGTACACTAACTTAAAACTACTAGAGATGAGAACAGAATCAGGCTTATAAATAAGGCTAAATTGAGTTGATGAGATCACAATTCATTTTATCACCGTAATAACATTAAATTTAAAATATGAAATGCATTTTGTATTTGAGGTTTGTGTGTGATTCTGCTGAAAAAGTGGAATTCTGGTAAACCCTAATTTTATTTTCGCCTGTATTGACTGGAGGTAAACATCAGAAGGTATTACTACAAAAAGACAGCTTTATTGGCATTGCTCCATTAAAAACAATATGAAGTAGCCAGAGATCTGCTCTCAGATGTGAAGTGCCCTCACTTAGAGCAGACCCAGCACTGCCCACTGAGCAAATCATGGTGGCATTTTTCGCACTAAATGTTTTTTCAGTCTTCTTCATCTTCTGTCTTTTGTTTCATGCAGATACCACACGGCCAAAACGTGACTATGAAGTGGATGGGAGAGATTATCATTTTGTCATTTCAAGAGAACAAATGGAAAAAGATATCCAAGAGCACAAATTTATAGAAGCTGGGCAGTACAATGATAATTTGTATGGAACTAGTGTCCAGTCTGTGAGATTTGTGGCAGAAAGGGTAGGTTGACAGTAGTTTTATTGCTGGTGCAACATGATCTGCTTTGTTTCCAAATTGTGTCTCAGACATGATTGTCTGCCAAAAATATAAAATAGCTACAAAACGGCATCCTAATATTTATAGGCTTTATAATGACTGCACAGGTGGAGTCTCTGACTTTGAACGACATCATCCTTGGCACTGTCTGTACATGGATGAAGTGCCATGAATTCAGGGCTCTAACACAGTGCCTCACGTACTCCTCAAAACTGCCTCTACTCTTCCCTCTGTAAAAGTAGATAAACTAAATCACTTTCACAGAGGCAAAAGAACGAACCACAGAAAGATTAAATTATTTGCCTCAGGTGACACAGGGAGTCTCTGGCGTAAACAAGAACTGAATTAATCGTTTAGAACATGGACATCCTATTGCTTTTATGAGCTGATTTTCCTCATCTCAAGAAAATCCTCCTGCCCCTGCAAATTTCCTTGCAGTGAAAAATAAATCCCAAGTTTGTTCCCATATCACCAGTGCATATTTATACTGGCACCAAAGCAAAGGAAAGAACGCAGTGTAGTGGAGTGCATGCCCTGGGATACCCCTTCCCTGGTGTGCCAGTAATGGCCCCATTCCAGGGCACTGCATTGCAGATTTGCTTCCTTTCTTTTGGCTGATCTGCAGCAAAGTCTGCAAAAATAATAAACACATGTTCATCTTTTTCCAACAGGGCAAGCACTGTATACTTGATGTGTCAGGAAATGCTATCAAACGACTACAGGTTGCACAACTCTATCCCATTGCTATCTTCATTAAGCCCAAATCATGGGAGCCTCTGATGTGAGTATAAACTTCTTCAAGCATTTTATTCTTTTCGGGTACAGCCTCAAGTGGCACCACACAGGTCTTGAGTCTACATTCGGCTTGTTCTCTAAAATGATTAATAATGAGATGAAGTAGGAAGAGTGCCCTCAAAACCTGTCATCCACTATCCTGGTTTCTCAAGGATCAAGCCATAGCTTTGAACCTTTCAAACTGGCACATGTGGGATTATGTGCTGGGCACAAAGGACTCCCTGCCAGTGGTTGGTGTACTTGCTCCAACCTGTGCAACGAGTTCATCAGGGACTCACACACACAGCTTGCCTTGTCCCATGCTTCCTTGGGTGCTCTTATGGTTTACAGCCTGGCCAAGGGCACGAACCAGGGGTTAAACCTGTGTCAGACTTGAGGTGTGCTCCTCTTCAGCAGCCCTTCATTTACCTGCAGGTCTGTAAGAGGATAGGCAAGGAGCCATGGGACTGGAGAAGGGCAAACAACACTTACAAGAATGAATGAGAAGGCACCAGCTCTATGCTGCCAAGACTGTCTGAGGGGACACACACTTTGGGGGATAAGATCAAAACTCAATGTAAGATCAATAAGATGAAATTCAGCAGAGACAAAGGAGAGACAATGAAAGGCATGAGTACAAGCAGGGAATAATTTAGCTATAGCACTGAAGAAAAGCATCTGGCAGTTGGGGTGGATCACAGGAATGGATGGGTAATGTGGTTGCAAAAAAAGGACCTTGCCATTGTGTATTCATATTCACATTCTTTTTCATATTGTATTCATATCAGTGTTGTGTAGGACACAATAGACTGCTATTTTGTTTTACTGGGGCCTAATCTGGAATGCTGACCTGATTCTGGGTTCCACCCTGCTGGCGGAGGGGGAGCAGCAATTATCTAGTGTCACAGAGAGAAGGCTGAGGAGGAAATATGGAATTGATATTCATCCTGAGTTAAAACTCAGGATAAAATACATGGTTATCAATTTGTTTTCCATGTACACTTACAGTTATGCAAGAGCTATCAACTTAATTTGCTGTGATAGGGGTGAAATTTTGAACTCTGTGGAATGGGTTGGACTCGATGACCTTGTAGGTCTCTTCCAATCCAGTGATTCCGTGATTCTGCGATTCTCTGATTCCCCTCCCTCATTGCTCTGCAAATGCCAGGTTGTGCCATAGGTTTGACAGCTAAAACATTGGCACTCCCCCTCCTGTGACAGATCTGTGTCTGGTGATGGTAACAGTGTACCTGCAGCCACCGGTCACAGAGCTGGAGAATTCCAACATGACCCATCCCTGGAATATGCATTCTTCTTGGCCCTGCCTTGACAATGAGCTTATTGTATGTCTAGCCACATTACAAGGAATGATGTGCAATATCTGGTACTTGCACAGCACCATCCTGACTTCTGATTTTTCTACCAGCCTGCAACACAATAATATTCTGATTTTGTTGCTGTATGGAAGGGGAAGGATAGTCTGATAGCCTGCTTTCTGCACTGATTGTTTTAACAGAGATCTTAACATACAGTTTTCCCATTCATAAAACATTTCCATTATTTGTTTAATGCTGGCATTGCCTCTGGAGTGATTAAAAAAAACCCAAATTAAATAAAAGTGGCCCTTACTCTAAAAAATACATCAGGCAGAACCAGAAAAGTGGCAATAATATAAAGGCTTTGTTGATTTGATGTTATAACAGAAAATCCTTGAATAGACTGAATGATGTTATAAAGATGCAAAATATTATGACAATCATTCTGGTGTTGAACCAAAGCAATGCTAATAGTTCACTTAGGGCAATAAAACAAGTGGGCTGTTCAAGAAATGCCTGGACTTGGCACTCAGTGCTATGATCTCGTTAACAGGGTAGTGATCAGTCAAAGGTTGGCCTTGGTGATCTTGGAGGTCTTTTTCAACTTAATGATTCTGTGATTCAGTCTTTTTAGGTATGTAAGTACCGCAACACAAAAAAAATATAGGCTTATCTGTCATAACTATGACTCCTGTTCATACAAATGAGTTGAAAGCTACTTCAATAGCAAAGTCAAAACACAAAAGACAAAAAATTTTAATCACAAGATGCAGAGAAACAAAGACAAAAGATTTATCTTTCATCAAAATCAGCACATAAATTTGTAGTCTTTCATTTATGCATATGCTCATTTGCAGCCATCTGAAGTGGAGGTAAGAAGAGTCAAGGGAGCATAAATCAAGTTTGCACCTGCACTTGAAAAACACGTGGCCATTGCTGTAAACAAACTGCTCCTTCTCCCTCCCTCCTCTTCCTCTCTTCCCACTCCTACATGACTCCACCTGGTTTACTCCCAGAGTCATGCTTGTTCACACCCTCCAATCAGGCTCTCTCTCTAGAGGAATGAGGACAGTGGTAAGATCATGGGAATGACAAATGGAAGTAAGAAAGAACCCACCTGGATGAGCTCTTCACTGGAAGAGGAGGAAAACCCTGGAAAATATGCACTATATTTTGAATTCACCAGCTGTGCAGTCCCCAGCCTGCACACCCTAAGAAATAAGAAAGAGGAGGGACTGCAGTATGGCAGCACTTTAATTTCATCATGAAAAATGGACATCATGGTCCTCCCCCTTCTCCATCCTCTCTTCTAAGGGCACAGAATAGGCAGAGTCAGGAACTAGCACGGTTTTATACCCCAGGCAAATCTACAACCTGAAAGTGTAATGCAAATTTCTACCTGTTTCAAAGTATTTCCTATTTTAAACACTTGTTTATATTTGTATCATCTTTTCTGCTGTTCAAAAATCTTGAGAAAGACTTTTCAAAAATTTGCCAGAAAGAGATCTGAAAGGAAGAGGATGTTGTTAGCATTACAATATTTGTTAAGTGCCCATAAGATGAAAATGTTAAGTTTGCCTAAGAATTTGCAGTGCTATGTCCCACTAAAAGTCAGAGTTTTAGTTCAGTCACCTAAAGCAGGTGTAGCTGATGTGAAGTCCACCTGAACTTGATTAGATAGCAATCTTTCCAATAAATAGAATTAGTATTAGTTTAGCAGAACAACACATGGATTATATTAGACCTTTTTATATAATCTACAAATAGCTGACATAAATTTTGAAATAAATCTTTCTTAGCCTTCATTTTATAAACCTGCTTTCTCCATGGCATTAGTACTTGCAAAAAGTTTTTTCTAAGTATTGTTCCCAGCTATACAGTTACTTATATAGATAGGCAGCTTCAAGCCATTTCTGAAAACTCCTTTTTGTATCCTGGACATTTTCCAGGATGTTTTTCAGAAGTCAAGTAGGTGTTAGCTGTAGCAAGTTCATACTGTTGTGCACTTCATAGAGCTGCTTTTTTTTTTTTTATTTTTTTGCACTATCAAGTCCATAATTTCCTACATGCATCACCCATGGCACACTGTATACAGTCCATTACCATATAATCATATGATTCAGTGCAAGGCAGAAAATTACATTTATGCTCTCCTAGTTGCCTCAGAAAATTTTTGTCATGTTTTAAGAAAAAAAAAGACTCTACACTGGGAAAAAATGATAGAACAAGCTAACTCTATTTATTATTGATAATTTAGACATTTACAGGTATATGAGTATACGGCAGTGAATGAGCATGATCTTGATTCATTGCAAGTATGCAGTGGTATTAATACCTGAGCATGCATGGGCAAGACAACTCATTTCTTAAAGTTATTAAATAATGTTTCTGTTGAAACAGAAATGCTCCATCAAATAACAAAACACTGAAAAAAACCACAATGTTACCATCTGTCTTTGTTTTCATATTTATGAGCAGCCAATAAGCAGTCAGTACAGCCTTATCCATCTGAGACCATCAGCTGAGTCTGGGAGATACAGATTCCTGAAGGAGCTTCAGGCAGGAGTGCTGAGTGCTTAGACTATGGGACATCCTGAATTCCAGACCTGTCTATGGGCTCCTGATGTCTCAAGTCTATCTCATTTAGCAGCTGCTAGACTCAGGCCTTGTATTTTGTTTGAGAATATAGAGTAGTGAACCCAAGATAAAAACGTGGTGGAGAAAAGTGAAATGGGAAACAGTCTGAAGAAGTAGTTTTGTACCACTTAAGAATGAAATCAAATTGAAAATATTGAAGCTATCCATGAATGGTTGGAAGAATTTTACTATTTCATTCTTTTACCAATCTCAATCCATCTGTGATTCAGTTAAGCATGCCTTTTGAAAACCATTCTAGCAAGAATCTAAACTTTTTGATTACTTCGTCCATGTTTCTAGGGAAATGAATAAACGTCTTACAGAGGAGCAAGCAAAGAAAACCTATGATCGAGCAATTAAATTAGAACAAGAATTTGGAGAATATTTCACAGGTATGTTTTTATTAATACCTTTCTTTTCCCCAAGATATAGTCTTTTATTGCAAAACTACTGGATCAACCCTGTCTTTGAGCTAGAGTACCTATTAGTAGAGTATGCCCAGAGCAAGGACTTCTGGCTTGAGAGTATTGTTTCCTTGAAATTCAAGAGCAGTTGAGGCACTTGACTCAAAAGTTTGATGTCCTGAAGGAGTATCTATGTGGAGGGAAATTAAGGAACAAACCTCTGTGCTTTGTGTTACAGTTACTTTACCTTCTGTCAGCTTGGGCCTGATCTTGTTAGCCTCAGCAGCCAAGAGCTGAACTCATTATAATCAGATCAGAAAGGTTGCAAATCTGCTGCTGCCCTCTGCTGAAGTAGGTTCTAAATTGAATGAAGTGTAAAGCTTGACCTCCAACAGTGGGAATCTCTTGTGCTGCCCTCCCCAGGACAGAAGTGCCAGTTCTCTGAACTAACCTGGCTCAGTCTTCTCAGTACGAGCAGTGGGATGGGTCTCTGCCACAGGCAGGTGCCATTGATTTGAACTTAGTTGTCATCTGCAGGGGTATGACTTTTCCATAAACATCTCAGTATGCCAGTATTCCTTCTCATTTCATGAGTATCTGTGAGTGTGCTGGAGATCTGCTGACACTAGATGCTGTATCTATCAATTAAAAGAAATATTGATATGTTTTCTCTACCACAGCTATTGTCCAAGGAGATAGCTTAGAAGATATATATAATCAATGCAAACTTGTAATTGAAGAACAATCTGGGCCTTTCATCTGGATTCCTTCAAAGGAAAAATTATAAATTAGCCACTGCACCTCTGATTACGACGGGAGAATATTTAGAAGAAAACTATAATATACTATTTGGAGGCTTTCCTGTTTTTGTTGCATTTATGTTCTTTGCAGTCAATGTGAATTTTGATGAATGTACAACACAAAGTGTTTGAAGCCATGAAGGACACTGATGAGTCAAAGGGTAGGAACAAAAAGACTTCTACCGTATAAAGCAAATCTGTTGTGTGCTCAGAGCACGAGTTGTAGGTATAAACTTTTGACGTGAAGACCCTCTGTCAAAGGGAGCTAAGCCACCTCCTGTGCCCACGCGGACATTTTGATCAATTTCAATGGCTGAGCTCAGTGTGTTGATTGCTTTAGAGAAGTTCCCAGCTCTTGAACCTCACAGAGGGCTTGATCCTGCAAGGCGCTCAGCACTTGACCCCAATTCCTACACATGAGTAGCCTGTTGACTTGGAGTCACTTGTGACCCTTCCCTATGCCCTTCAGTCCCACAGTTCCAGTAGGACTCTTCACGTGCTCAGAGCTAGGCACAGGCTTAAGCATTTTTGCTAGATCAGGGCCACATGCACCTTGCAAAATCAAGCTCAGAGTATTTGGTCCACTTCCTACTGAGGTCACTGTTGGGACACTCTGTGACCTGACTGGGAGGTGGGTCCTGTTCCAAGCTTGTCATTGCACATTTGTAGTTGGTACACCTCGACTTTGGTAACTATGCACATCTTTTGATTTCTGAAACCAAGTCAAGCTTTTTTTTTTCCCCCTTTGGAAGCACTATTGCATCAGGAACTACCAACAATATGGTTTATTTTAATGGTGTTTAGGGGTGGGAGAGGATGGAAGCATTTCACACCACACACATGTGCACACAAACACATTCCCATGCAGACAGACACATGTATGAGGATTCACAGCACCTATGTTAACAAGGAGGGATACAACTGGGAAAAGCTTTAAAATTTTTGATTGTCTATTTTATCATTTATATTGATAGAAGGCACTTAAAGATGGAATAATTTATAAAAATAAAAATATATTGATGTATAGAAACTAATTTCTATAGGTAAAATGTTTTTGTGAAGATATTTTGTAAAGATTAATTAATTGAAAGATTAAATATTTACACCCTTGTGTGACTGTCAAATGTAAAGAGGACCATCAAGTTGCATTATACCTCTTCCATAACAGATTCTCTATTATTAATGACAAGCAAGAAAATTCCTTAAATAGCAGTTGTCATCTTTTTTTTCTTTCAATGTAATCCTCTCCCTTGCCTCTATTTAATCATGATGAACTCCTGTGGAAAGATCTCTTGAACTCACTGCCCTGTAGGAATTTTCTGAACACAAAAGGATAATGCATCTTTGAGAGGGACAACTATTCAGAAGCAAAATGCCTGTGCTTAAATGCAGCTAATAATTTCTCTCTTAGGAAGGAGGCACCCTGAATCCCCAAATGTTTTATGGCTCTTCCTGTTTCCCTCAGGGAAATAACAAAAGCATTTGATCTTCCCTCTCTTTGCAGGCAGGTCACCAACTAACTTGTATCTTCATTCATTTCACAGTCAACAAGGGTCTTAAAAGCAAAACTGAGGCAATAGACATTTGTGAGGGATTTGGGGAAAGTCTGTGGAATTGCAGTCTGGGGTGTACAGAAGGGGAGAAGGAGGTATTTTTTTTCTCATTTCACATTGCCCTTCTTTGGTGTAGTGATGCCATTCCTCACTGACTTACAAGGGGACAACTGCAACAGATGCTATGACAGTAAAACTGAATTGCCTTTGCTGCTGCTGGACCATGTTCTCTATAAAACCCACACTCCTGCCTCTGCTGCACTGCAGGAGTGCAATGCTTATAGCTGGTGGCTACAGCAGCCCTAATGCTTACGGATGTCTTAAGGGCAAATGCTAAATAGACTCCTCTGGCACTTGTCTGTTTGAAGCTTACACTTGTACACCCTGTCCAGCTGACAGGGCTGCCCAGCCACCCTCCGCGCACAGCGCGACGAGCTGGGTGTTTGCAAAAGCCACCAGCGGTGACAGGGTTAAAAACACGGGCATTTTACTGGCTCTTGAGCTGGCCTCTCATGCTTACTGCCCAACTATGGTAACTCTGAGAAGTTCACACTTCTTTAACTATTTTTCTTGCCTGGTCAGCACAGCTTTATAAACAAGGGTTTCAGTTAAGTCTCCAGAAGAGCTTTGTAACCAGAAGGGCTATAAACCTTTTTTTTTTTTTAAATATTAATTAATGAATGCTTTGATTTTGGATAATTCTGCAGAAGTCCACAGAGTGACCCCAGATCTTTGGAAGCCATGGATTTTTCCATGCTAGCAAAATACTATTGCCCCAGGTTGGGAAATAGCCCACCAGACCTGAAAAACCAAGTATCCTAAAGCAGGAACTTCATTCTAATTTTCAGCTCTGTTTTTAAGCAATCGATCACATCTGCTTCTTTGTTTCTTAGTTCAGCATGCAGCCTTTTATGGTACTATCCTACTAGTAACTGTTTTGCTTTGTCATGTGCTGTGCTTTACAGTGAACAGTAACACTACGGCTGAGTACAATCAATTTTTCCATCAGTCCTTGGTTACTGTAGTAACATTATTTATTTTTTCCCTGTCTGTTGTTTGTGCTTCCATTTTAGAGTTGACATTGCACTTCTTTTTTTTTTTTTTTTAAATAAAACATATATTTAAAAACAAATCATCAAGAGAATCAGTGAGAGGTCTTATTTCCCGTAGGACTTGTACTCCCATTTGTTTTGTATGTTGATGTTTTGCGTTCCATGTTGCAGCATCCTAAGAGCTGCAGTCCATTTTTTGCATTGCAGCTGTTCAGATCATACTGGGTGGTAGTGGGAGGAGGAAGAAAAGCATAAGACTCATGAAAAATTACATCTGGTGAAAAAGAAGAAGTCCAAACTCACAACCCACAGCAATTGGCACCTGACTCCATATTGGTGCTAACACAGCTTAGCATAATCAGATTCCTTTTCTGTCCATGTAAAAGACTTGGGAGCATCTAACCATGAGACCAATGCAAATGCTGGACCCTTTAGGAAAAGTGCCAGATCACACCCCTGGTGCTATAGCTCATGTTCTGGCACAGTGTGTAGCACCATAGGGTCTAAGCAGAATCAAAATTATCACAGCTTTTTGTCCACCCATGAATGATCACAATGACATCTCGCTAGCTTTGTGCAGATGTGCAATATTACAACTTAATTATTTTTCCTTGCCACAAACAAACAAAAAAAAAATCTTCCATGCACTGACTCATTGAGAGCTTGCTAACAGGGCTCAGTGGAATGGCACTTCTTCACTGGTCTTACAGTCTGACCATCAACCAGTGGAAGAGCCTCTTTCTTGCTTAATCCCCCTTCCCACAGAGGTACCCTGTCCATGCTAGCGCTTTGTAATTTCTTTGGTAGTAAAGGCTGTTTCTAGATCAATATTCTGTGATGTAATTGTGTTTGTAGCTAGCATGGTTTGATGCTCTGGTGTGGATAGGGTCCTAAGAACCACTTAGTGAAAGTCAAGGATAGGAAATCTCTCCATTGCACTGAAATTACAAATCCTCATCCTGGAGAGCAGTGTGGTACCTGAGCTAATAACCACTACGAGCCAGCAACAGTGTCCTAGGTATACAGCACCCACCTACCTATTTACATTTGTTTTCTATGGAGAAATTGTTGGCATTACACCTTCACTGTTACTCGCTCATCAGCAGCCGGTCAAATTGTATTTTTGTTTTGGATTTCTTGTGTTTTAGTTTTTGTTTTTCAAATTGTTTCCCTGACCAGAGGATTCACTGAGTGAAAACACATGAGGATATTTGTAGGAAAAACCGTGTTGAGGAAAAAGTATCAACCTCCTTTTTCAGATGCAGATTTAAAGCCATAATATCTGCCGTGTTCACAGAAAGTGGTCTTTTATCCTTCACAGCTTTTAATCTCAATATTTTCCCTCTTGAACATTTTGCCTGTCAAGTTATGCATGTGGTTCACTGTGCAACTGCATTCAAGTGCGCAAGCCCATTCCTTGGTGGAATAAACTTTTTTCTTTACCATTAAAAATCAGACATTTTGTCAATTGGTTCAGAAATAAGGATGAAGTTATTATGCTAAAAAAAGAAAGTTTCCGTTCTAGGACACAAATCAGCATCAAAGCTGACCACAGATAACATCTAAAATCTATCCAGCATATAGCTAGCCTAGATTCTCAGCTGGTGGAAATCTCCTCTGATTTCAATGGAGTCCGTCCCATTTATACCACCTGAAGTTAAATATCCATCCTCCTCATCACAGATTTTTTTGCACCTCTGTAAAACACCAAGGCCACCTGATCAAACAGCGGCTCAGCACTTTCCATCATTATTTACTGCTTATTTTACTGTAACACCCAGAGGGCCAAGGCATGGACCAAGATCCTTTTGAGGCCAGTGCTGTGAAATTGGTAACAAAAAGACCCCAAGGGCTGAATGGATTCACAGAAGGCTTCAGCTGCACTGACATCTCACCAAGAGCTATAGGAACTACCACTTCATTGGCCCTTGTTGAGACTCTGCCTTTAAGGTGAAAGGCAGGAGAGGCAATCCATCATCTCTTGCTCCACATTAGCAGCTTACACCTTCTGGCCCTACAGCACAGGCAACTTGCCCTGATGTAAAACAGCATTTCTGGGCATGGGAGCCAGCATCCTAGGCAAGAACTTTGGTGTGGGGGGGAAAAAGGATTAAAAAAAAAGGGGGGGGAAATGGCGACACTGTTGGCTTTTAGTGGGATAGCCTTTTAATTTCTGGATTTGTGCTCCTAAATTTGAATTGGCCAGTTTGAATTTCTGAGTGCAGCAGCCTGTGTGCACCAAGCTGCTCCCTCCAGAACAATGTCCAGCGTGCGTCTCTTTAGCAGGATGTTTCTCAGTCCAGCTGTAGTGTGGGGTACTCAGAATCTGAACTGGAGTTTACAAAACACCCTGTCCAGCTTACACTCCTGTTATGTGTAAATACTCTGCGCATCCATTCCATTTGTGTAAAGAATAAAGCACACACAATTATAAAAATTAAGCTGTATATTTCATACTAGCTGTGTCCTTGCTTATTTATTCCAGTCCAAGCTCTCAGCTGTGGTTCAGTTGTAAATGCTTGATAGAGTGTTTTTAAATATGTCATGAATTTTATTATAAAATATTAATATTAAAGCATTTTTACACTTTATAGCAAATTGCTTCTTCACAAGGCATAATTTGTCTTTTTTCCTTGGAGCAGAATAGTAAAAGAGAAATATGCTTTTATTTTGTCTTGAGATACTATCACATCTATCACACGAGACTGACACAAGTCTGGATTTAGCAGGATGGTTTCAAAAATTACTAAGAATAAGACACCTTCTTCCTTCTTGCCCTTTTTATTTCTTTTTTAGTTCACATTGATGTGGAAATTGCCACCAAGAAGATTCATTCTGGTGAAGTACAGCCACTTTCTCCTTACCACAGTTCTTCTGTGAATTCAGTATCATCAGCATCTTGATGAATAATTACCAGAATATTTTTTATAATTAAAAAATCATTCTATGTTTATGACATTGCTGCACAGCCATGGGGAAAAGGACTGTAATAATTACATTATAGCTGCTTCTAAGCAGCTTAGTGGAGCATAAACTCACTTCTGCTATGGGATCCCAACAGCTCAAGAACCTTGGGGTTTGGCCATTCCAGGAATATCTTTGCAGATGGTTTGTGGGCTCCAGGGAGGCCATGTGAACATTTTCAGTCCCCAGTAGAGGCAGTAACAGTATGGGGACACTGCTTTTGACATGGACAGTACTATCTGCAGTCTGCAGAGGACCACAGAGCCTCCACATGGCTCTGGGAGCCACAACTGAGACTGTCAGGAAAAACTCTGTCCACGGGTTTTACATCTGCTATCACAAGGATGGTTAATCATCTAAACATTCATTGTGATGCTTTAGATTTCTCCAGTAGATTCAAAAGAGGGAGAAAATCCAAACAATTGACATTGAGCAGGATCTCTTATTAAAGTACTTTCTTCT